TCCCTGGTGCAGAGGTCCTTACTAGGCCCTGAAGGATGTGTTGGAGCCCAGCAGTTGGGGAAGCAGCCAAAACAATGCCATGCTGGGTCCCGTGGGCCTGGGCAATAGGAGAGGAAAGACCCTGGAGATTGTGAGGCCAGTGCAGGGGCAATCACCTGCCAGTCTCAGCTCAGGGACTGCTGAGCCTGCAAGTCCTTGAGTGAGGAGCAGACAGCTGTGTCTCCGAAGGATGTGGTCTGGGGAGGGCTGTCAGCCCTGCGTGTGGTGACCCATCAGCTTGGGGAGAAGTCAGGCCTGAGCAGCTACTTCCTGAGAGGTGTTCTGTTTCGTCCTCACCGGAGTGCTCCGCTTCCTGGCTCATGTCACCGACCTCCCGCCTCTAACTGGGTCAGAGGGCTTCCCCTTTTGGCCCCACCACCCCCTTTCCTCCCAAGATTGTGGCCAGAAAAATCAGACCTCATCACAGTGGGTTAGACCAGTGGTCGGCAAACTGCGGCTCGCGAGCCACATGCGGCTCTTTGGCCCCTTGATCGTGGCTCTTCCACAAAATACCACGTGCGGGCTCACGTACAGTGCGATTGAAACTTCGTGGCCCATGCGCAGAAGTCGGTTTTCGGCCTGGGCGAGTCTATTTTGAAGAAGTGCTGTTGGTATTTGGCTCTGTTGACTAATGAGTTTGCCGACCACTGGGTTAGACCATAGCGATGATGCAGCCAGCCCTTCTTTGTAAGGTGGAGAAAACGGGGCGCAGGGAGAGGGTTTGCTGATAGCAGTTATGATTTGCTCGGTGCTTTTCCTCCGCCAGGTTGGGTATGTGGGAAGCACTCCTCAGAAAGGAAGCCGGTGGGGGTTGCACTGTGCCCACTCCACAAGCGAGGGAACTGAAAGTGGTAAAATGGGTACCACTTCAAAGTAGCAGAGAGCATCTACCATCAGAATCTGTCCCGTAGCCCCTCCAATAGTGCTCTTGGGACCGCTCCCCAAAGTTTAGGTGTAAGCCAAAGGCCTGCCCTCCCCTCGGGTGGTTCCCCCCACCCCCAGGTGCCACAAGCTTTGGGAAGTGAACCCGGGCTGAGCACCCTGCCTCTTCTCCATTTGGATGGGGCTTGCCATCCTAAACCAGTTCTTCCTGTCCAGCTGGGAGCATTCCCCTGAACTGCCTTCCTGCCACTCCCTCCCTGGCCAATTAAAGGCAGCCTTGTTTAGGGAGTCTCACCCCCAGGTGCGGCTGTCCAGGCCCAATCAGTTCTGGGGAATTGTCCCCCACCTCCCAGGTGCGGCTGTCCAGACCCAATTGGTTCTGGGGAATTGTCCCCCACCTACCAGGTGCGGCTGTCCAGGCCCAATCGGTTCTGGGGAATTGTCCCCCACCTACCAGTGTACTTTAGCTTGGAGATATTTCTGGTTTCCTTGAGAATTCTCTCCTTGATTGCATAGAGGTGGGGTTGGGGAGGAAGCCCAGGGTTCTAAGACCCTTGAGTGACCAGTGAGAGCTACCAAGCACCCAGGAGACTATGTGGGCCACAGTGTGGGGGCTGGGGAGTTCCATGAGGTTGAGTCCCTTTCCCTCTCTGGGTTGACATCCCTCATCTGTCAAATGGGATTTGAACCAAATGGCCTCCAGAGCCCTTTCCAGCTCGGGTATTTTATTAATGGCTAAGTACCTATATTCTGAAAGGGCTTTGGAAACTATAATGACATCTAAGATATCTCAAAGAAAGTTATGTTTGGTGAGGGAATGATCTACTCCACCAAATTCTGAATTGTGCGCTCCCAACCCCCTGCCCACACACGTGGACCCACCACTTCCACCCACACACACCGAGGCAGGAACTCTGCTGTTTCTTCTTAGTGAAACCCCTGTCTGTAGTTAGTATGCAGGCAATGTTTGTATGAATGAATAAGTAATATTCAGGCATGTAACTTCATTCTAAAAGGCGCACTGAGATTATTTAATACCGATGTGAATGCCTCCTGGTGTACTGTGAGGTAGGCATGATTATCTCCATTTTTACAAGAAACTGATGCTCAAAAGAATGCAGTGGTTTGCCAAGGTCAGAACAAGGTCTGTGTGACAACGCTAGATGTTTGCCTTGATCGACCTCAGACAACATTCCAGATCAGGAAACTGGCGGGGTTGAAGGTAGGTAGATACCTTAGGTTCTACGTCTGAATTGCCGGGTGACCTTGAGCAATATGCCCTATCTCTGGATCTCGGGGTCCCCAACTTTAAAACGAAGAGGTTGGACCAGCGCCCTTCAGGGTCCTTCCTGTCCTGAGAGCCGACTGCTAGGGGGAGGAGCGCTCTCTTGGCCTTCCTGGTAAAGAGCCCGAAAGAGAGAAGTTGGGGGTGGAGAGGGACATTCATCTCCTGCCATCCCCAGCTCCTGGAAACAGAGGGCTTTTCCAAGGACTTGGAGTGCTGAGCGGCCTGAATGAGGGACTGGGAGAGCCAGGCTGGGCTACCCGCCCCAGCTCCCTCCTGGGAGGAATTGACTCCTAGCTGTCCTCGGCCTCCCGGACCGCTGGGTGTGATTTCCAAATGACGTTTAAAATTGGGGAAAGGGGCTGGACGGGGCTGTGAGTCACTGGGGAAAAGCGGTAGCTGGCCTGGCTTGCCTGAGTCACCCATTCCTTCCCACCTCTGGGCTGTAGGATGGCTCTGTGGTGGGGATATTGCCATGGGCTCCAGAGGTTTACCTTGTCCTGTGAGAGCCTGTTAAAGAGTCAGCATCTCAGTGCCCAGGGCCTTGAGGGAACACACAAGTCCTTCACGGTGCCTGGCCCTGTGTGTGGACTTTGAAAGGAGAGAATTCAGCCAGTCCTCAGAACTGGTTATTTGGCCTCTGCTCAGCGGGTCTTGTCTTGCCTTTCCTTTCCTTTCCTTTCCTTTCCTTTCCGTTCCGTTCCGTTCCGTTCCTTTCCTTTCCTTTCCTTTCCTTTCCTTTCCTTTCCTTTCCTTTTCTTTTTTCCTTCTCTTCTCTTTTCTCTTTTCTTTTCTTTTCTTTTCTTCTTTCTTTTCTTTCTGCAAAACTAAGGCTGCAACTGCTCTGAGTTTATAGAGCAAAGCTGGTCCAGTCCAGACTGGATTTGGCCCCAGGAATCTTGGTGTGTTGGACGCCCCCCTCCTTTCTTCCCGAGACTGGCCAGAGGGCATTGGGACACTGGTTTGGAGTTAGGCAGACCGGACTCCAGAGGTGTGAAGTCCTACCTGACAGCGTGGGCCCCTCACTCACTCAGTTTCTTGGTCTGTAAGATCTGGATTGAGGGGAGGCTTGTAGATGACAAGACCGCAAATAAAGGCCCCAGTACCGTGCCGGTAGGAGGAGGTGTGCTAAGTGGCAGTGCCCTCTTTGTCCAGGCCGCTTAGATGCCACCTGGTACCTTTGAGGAACCCACCCCCTTGGTCTCTGGGAACTTTTTCCCTTCCTCCCTTTCTAACCCAGAGCCACAAAGTGGTGAGGGAGGAGTCCAGGGTGGGGCTGATGGAGCCCAAATCTGATTTGTTTATCTTAGAAGTGGCTGTTTGCTAATTATCTGATGGGTTTATATTTAATCAAGAACCAGTTCCCGGCAGCACCACCCTCCTGGCCCACCCTCCTGGGCCAATCTGTAGGAACCCGTTGTTGAGCAGTTTGCAGCCTGGAAGGAGAGGGGGCAGGGGGGTTGCAGGGGCTAGACCACTGGGACACAGCCCCGGACTTAGGGTGCCCCTCCCGAGTTGGAGGGCCATGTTAGAGGCTGACTGAAGATCGGGCTCTGGGCTTTGGTGTGTGTGCCTGTGGTGCGGGGGACAGTGGACAGAAAGAGTCGTGTTCTGAAAAGCCAGTTTTCCTGTGTTTTCATTGCCTGGTGCCTAGAGAGGATGGAAGAGGAGGCATTTGTTAGCAGTTGGGGCCTGATTTAACCCTAGAAAGGCGTACGACAAACCCGACCACTCGGGCAGGTTTGTTATTAACTCGCTGCTGACCTTTGGGTGCCGCCCCACATCTCCTGTCTGCTGGAGGCCCGGTGCCAGAACAGCCCGCGTCCCATCCCAGCTCTGCCGCTCACCCTTCAGCGACACACAGTTAGTTAATAAGTCACTTTGCCGATGGGAGCCCGTGTCCTCTATAAAACACCTGTGTCACTCGAGGGTCATAATCGAAGTTTGGCAAACTTGTAAAGTGCTGGCTTACGTTTAGTTTAGTATTACCAGCTAGACAAGGGTTCTTAACCAGGCCAGAGGCTGGCTTTGGAAAGGTGGCCTGGACCCATGTTGAAAATGTAAACCGATGGCTACAGTTCTTGGGGTTCAAAACTCTCTTTTTTCCAGAGGGCTCTATGAGTCCCCCAAAGCTCACTCTGATCTGAACAGTTCTTTCTGGCTTTGGCCTTCTGCAGTCCCCCTACCTACCCCTCCAAGTTCCCACCCACTGCTGTGTCCCTGTTACTCCCCACTCCCACCCTCCCTCCAGGCCCTCCAACTCAGCCCCACCCCCTCACTCTGCACGTCCCCTTCCCAGTCCTTCAGGGCTGCCCCAGTTTTCTCTGGCACAGCAGAAGCGGCTGCTAGTCAGGTGACACCTGGGGTAATGGAAAGGGGAGGCAGGGAGAGGCTGGTATGTGTGGAAACAGTGACTTGATGGAGCCTGCTGGACATGGCCAGGCCTGCAGGGACTGGCTGTACCACTCCAGCCTGGGGGTATGGGGGCAGGGGTGACCGGTGGCTGGGCGAGTCACCAGGAGTAGGGGAAGCTGGGCTGAGATGTCTTTGGGACAGACTGACTTGGTCTGCAGCGGTGGCTTCCCCAAGTGGTAGGGGAGGCTTCGAAGGGGCAGGAAGCCAGTACCCAGAGCTGATCCAGTTAGCTCAGACAAGGCTATCGACTCTGCTCTTGAGAACAGGGAGGCTTGCTCATGTCTTCCCCGTCATCCAGCAGGGACCTCGGATCCAGGATCCGCTGCCTAGATTACAAACCCCAGCTTCAATGCACCTCTGTCTCCACAGCCCTGCGGGAGCCAGCCCCTCCCGCTATCTCCACCGGTAATCGGAGCAGTGCCCAGCTTGGTTACCAGGCCTCAAGACAGAGGGAGGCTTGTCTCTTTGAGAACTGTCTTTGGTGGGGAAACCAAGGCCCAGAGAGGCAATCTTCCAAGATCGCCCAGGGAGTTAGTGACGGGGTGTGACGTCAGCTCCTGACAGGGGGACATCCAGAGGCTCTAAAAGCTCCCTCCCCTGCCCCCATTCCTAGCTGGCACCCCAGGATCCTGGAGCCCTTGCTGTGGGAATGGGCTGCCCTGGGGTGGAGGAGGGGCAGGGCGGGCAGGGGTTTGGTGGAAAGCTGGCTGCTGGCAGTGCCAGGCCTGGCTACTCTCCTGAGTGATTGTGTTCCAGTAACCCGACCTCAGAGTGGGCAGAGCTGACATTCGAACCCCCACCCCACCCCCAGACCTGGCTTAACCCTTCAGGTACCACAGGCCAGGTTGTGTATTGGTGTGTGGCTATTTTTGCTTTCTGTATATATATATATTTTTTAAAATATATTTTATTGATTTTTTACAGAGAGGAAGGGAGAGGGATAGAGAGTTAGAAACATCAATGAGAGAGAAACATCGACCAGCTGCCTCCTGCACACTCCCCACTGGGGATGTGCCCGCAACCAAGGTACATGCCCTTGACCGGAATTGAACCTGGGACCCTTGAGTCCGCAGGCCGATGCTCTATCCACTGAGCCAAACCGGTTAGGGCTGTATATTTTTTTCATCCCCAAGTCTGGTCAGGATATACTCTGGCATCGAATTTTCAGTCATCTGCTTAGGACAGTTGCTCCAAGTTGTGTGACCTTGGGCAGGTCTCTGCCCATCTTAGGGTCCTTCTCCCTGCACAGCCTGAAGGGGACGTGATTGGTTGTGGAAAAGTCTCTGACCCAGGATAGTGTATGTCCCTTCTCACTTTGCAAAGTATCTCCAACCACCTTCTTTCTAGGAATTGCTTCAGCAACTTTTCCCAGGACCCTCTGACCCTTTGACCATTAACCCCCTTATCCAGAAGGAAGACAGGTGGGGATTAATAACAGCCACTATTCATTGAGCACCTGCTGTGTGCCAGGCCACATGCTGGGCCCCTTGCACACACTAATGCATTTCACGTAATCCTCCTCATTCTGCCAGGTGCTCCGAGCCTTAGTTACCAAAAGAGCAAACTGAGGAATCAAGCCCCCAGACTCCTATAGTTTTGCTTATGAATCTGCTTTTTCAGGAAACTACTCTAGTGGAGCCTTCCTTTCTGCCGGGGCGTAGAGAGGCCTGATGGTGGCCCTCAGGTTTTGCTCATTCTGGGGGGGATGCCTGACCTTCAAAGGGAGGTGGGGTGAGAGTGACTGTGTCAGTGGTCCCTTCTGGAGATCTCCTGCCAGGATCCCTCTGCTGGGTGTAGTCACGGAGCCCAGGTGCTCACTAACCTGCCCCGCCACACACCCATTTCCCTTCTGGTCTCACCTCCTGAAAGAAGGGTCAAGTGTGTCCCGGACCCTGACCCTACCTCCCGTAGGGAAGAGCCAGGTGGGCGAAGGCTCTCCTCCCTCCTCGAACCAGTTCATAGCTAACCAAGCCCTGACCCTGAACTTCTCCCTGGTGCCCTAGCCAACTTTCTGTTCTTTTGTTTAAGCAATATCACTTTCAACTCTGTTTACTTGCTGGCCAGGGGAAAGGGTGCCCTGAAGGCCTGGCCTGGCAGTGTGGGCTGTGGGATTGGGGTGGAAAGGTGAAGCGTGGGTGGCAGCAAGAAGTTTGGCTGTGGCTAAGACATAGTCTTGAGAAAGATGGAATCCCAGCTCTGTCACACTCTAACTCTGTGACTTCAGATGAATAACTCAACCGAACCTGCAAAATGGGTAGAACACCCTACCAGTTTGTGCCAACAAAACGAACTCGTATAGAGAAGAACCTGGCTTGGTGCCCGGCATGCAGAGGGCACGTGTGCTAGCCGCCCCAGCCCCCAGGCTTGTCCTGGGTGACAAAAGCTGTAGCATTTGGGGTAGGGTTGGGGTCCTTTTCCTAGCTTCATGCCTCTAGCCTAGGCACTGGAAGGGGGTATATCTGGAGTGACAGCAACTGCCGGTGGACCTGTTGAGACCCTTCGGGGCAGCCAAAACCCTGGAAGAGGGAGGGAGGACAACTGCAGCCCGAGCGCCAGGAGACCTCCGTTCCAAGTACAACCCTGCGACCAGCTGCTTGGGTGACCTTGGCCAAGCCCCTGGCCCTTTAATCTGTCTGCTGGCTTATAACATGAGACGCATGGGCTCGGTGGCCTCAGATACCTTCCGTTGGCAGGTGTTAGTCCCTTTAGAACAAAGCAGCACCTACCTCTCTTCTTCCCGCGGACAGTGTGGGGAAGCACTCAGCACCTCTAAGCCTCCAGGCACCAGCCCCGTGCGCACCAGCCCCAGGGCCGGCAGGTCCATGAGACCCAGGCCCCTGCCTTGTTCCCCTGGTGATATCTCTTGTGTGTCTGTGAGAGGGACAAAGACGGGGTGACCCAAGGTTCCCAGAGAGGATGCCTGTGCGTGAACACACGTGTGACTACATGTTCCCTGGGCAGGGATGGGGTGAGCTGAGGTGAACAGACCACATCCTTAGCCAGGAGCAGGGTGGGGTCCTTCTCTGATCAGGGCTGGGCCTGGCTGCGGGGTGGCCTGGTTCTCCAAAGGTACTCCAGGCTGAATGAGCCTTGCTGATAAGAAGGTGGGGAGAGGGTGGACCATTGGCACCCACCTCTACACTCAGAGGGATGATTACCCACAAGCCCCTGCAACTCAGTCCTGTCTTGCTGGCCTAGCCTTAAAGGGTCCTGCTGGAGTTGAAGAAGGACTTAATTTCCTGTTTCCTCTGATCAGCACACCTCACAATTCTGCCACGCCCCTGACTGGCTGTAGGAGTGCACGCAGGCTCACCAAATGCAGCCTTTCGGGACCCCGTCCTTTTAGAGCCGGAACAGGTATCTAGTGGGGTCGAGTCCTGACCATGCACTTGCCTCCTGGTGTGACCTTAGACAAGTCCTTTTTCCTCCCCAGGAACCGCGTATGAATATGAAGGGTTATGGATGACCAGGTGATCACAAAGAGGGCTGAACTGGGAATAAATCTGGTGCCATGCACACCCCCTCAGTCTTCATGTTACCAGCATAAGACGGGGGTAGTTCCTATCAACCAATCAGTGTGCTAACCCTGGCTGTTTCGAAACACATACTGGAAGGCAGGCTCAGAAGCAACATTATATGGCTCCTGGGGACAAGCAGGGGGAGGGAGGATCTCAGCCTGAAACAGTCCCTGTCGGGACCCCAGCCGCTGTCTTGAGGACTGGAGCTCTGGCTCCCACAGCCAGTCCGATCTTCAGGCCAGGCCAACAAGGGGCCATAGCACCATCTTTCCCTCCTCAGCTCCTTTGACCTCCATGGAACAGGGCTCCAGGGTAGGCGGGCACTCTATGTGTGTCGTGTGTTTATGCAAGTGGGTCTATGACGTAGACTCTATGTGTATGTGGGTAAAGGCACAGGGGACCCATGCTTGGGTTCTGGTCCAGTGTGGCCATTTTTGGCCTGTGTGAACTTGGGCAAGTGAGTTTACCTTTCTAAGCCCCCCACCCCCGCCCCTCCTCACCCCCTTTCTACTTCTGTGAAAAACACATCTATTTGCAGAACCACTTCATGCTAAGTGCTTAGCTAGGCAAGCCACAGAGGTCCTGCTCTCAGGTCCTGGGCCCCAGAGGAGAGGGACCCCTCCCCAGGGACCGGCACCTTGTGCAATCCCGGAGAAGCCTTACTTTTGAGCTGCCAAACCAAAGCCGCAGGCACAGGGCTGTGCGCGGGGGCTGGAATTCCAATGCCAGCGGCTCACAGCTCCTGATTCCCCAGTCATGAAGTCATCCCTAACCCCTTCTGGCTCCCCACCCCCACGTGTGCCAAGTGGTCAGCAGATTCTCCCCTCCTGTGGGAGGTGCAGTGCCTCCCCACTGCCTTCCTCCCAGCCTGGCCCACTCCCTTTCCAGAATCCAGCTTATGCCCGCGTGGGAGTGGAAGAGGGCCTGACAGGTTCCGCCCGCCTCTCCCCGGAAACCAGCGGAGGGAGTGCAGGAGGCTCCTGGGCCCTTCCTGCAATGGTAACCTTGTCTTAGGCACCAGCATTCCTTCCTGGGCTCCCCTGGCAGCCTTGGTGGGTGAAGGACAGCCTGGGCATCAGAAACTGAGATTGGCCTCTGTGGTCTGCAAGCGATGTAGCTAACTCACTGTGTGAACTTGGGCCAGTCAGTGACTGTCCGGGGCTAGTATTCTCTCAAATTCTGTGACATGAGAGGGCAGGACGTCCCTGGCCTCTCTCCAGCTGGTATTCTGTGGTTCTGAGCAGCACCCTGACCTCCTGCAGTTAGGGGTTCTGGGAAAGAAGATGAGACACTGTTGGGGGGCGGGCGGCGGCGCGTGTATTGAACTTAATCAAAACCCTAACCCTAGCCCTAACCAGTTTGGCTCAGTGGATAGAGCGTCGGCCTGCGGACTGAAGGGTCCCAGGTTCGATTCCGGTCAAGGGCATGTACCTTGGTTTCGGGCACATCCCCAGGACGGGGTGTGCAGGAGGCAGCTGATTGATGTTTTTCTCTCATCGATGTTTCTAACTCTCTATCCCTCTCCCTTCCTCTCTGTAAAAAATCAATAAAATATATATATTTTTTAAAAAAAACCCTAACCCTCTGGCAAATAGTAGACACTTTAATATTTGAATTAATTAGTGCAATCATGAACTTGGCCCAGGACTGCTGTTCTGTGAGCAGACAGAACCTTAGCCCAGGAGCTGAGAGGAAGGTCGGGAGCCCAGTAGCTGATGTCCTATAGGACCTTGAGAAGGTTCTTTACTTCCCTGGCTAGGCCTTTGTTACTTTCCTTTTAAAAGCTTCTCGGTCGGGGTGGACCTAAGATTCTGCTGTGACCAGTGGGTCCCCATGGGTAGGGGCTGAGCAACACTGATGGGCGCTGGAGCAGGGGGTCCCTGGGGCAGGAACTGTGCCTCCCCCTGTCCCGCACAGTGTTGGTGGCAGAGTAGATGTGTGGGAGCTCTTGGGAAGCATGTGTTTATGCACTCCTGACTCACTAGGCCTGGGCAACGCCCTGACCTGAGGCTGTCCCGGGGTGTGGGTGAGCCAGCCCTGCCCGTCCCAGCCAAGTCTGACTCAGCTGGGAAAGGGGTCCCAGAGCCAGCAGCCCTCTCCAACCGGGGGTGAATCAGCTCAGCAGCATCACAGAACTCCGGCATAGGGCATCCTCCGCCGGCCTGGGTGGGTGGGAACACTGGCTCTGAAGTCAGGCGGCCCGACATGGAATCCTCACTCCTCCATCGGCCACTTCTGTCACCGAAAGAAAATGATTTGATGTCTTTAATGCCCACTTTCCTTGCTTGTAAAATAGGGTTAAAGTTAAAGAACAGGCCCTGACACATAGCAAGTGCTTAGTAAATGGTACCTGGTACTGTATTTAGATTCTGATTATTACCACCTTTATTATTTATGGGAAAGAGACTTGCCTAAGGCCCCACGCAAGTTGGAGGCCAGGAGGAGTCCAGGACCCAGGACTCCAGGCTCTGGCCTGGTCCCCTTCCAGCGCCTCAGTTTACTTTCTCGAATGCCCTTTTCACTGCCTTTTGGGGCTCAGGGGGCTGTTATAGACCACTGTGGGGGCTATTGGCTGATCTGTTTCCTTTTTTCACCCTAGATCCGAGAGACCGAGGTCATCGACCCCCAAGACCTACAAGGCCGATACTTTTCCGGACCCCTACCAGACGACGAGGACGTGGGGGAGCCGGGGCAGGAACTCGATGACTTTGAGCTGTCTGGCTCTGGAGATCTGGGTATGGAGGGTGCAGTGGGCAGGCTGGGGGCACGGGGCCAGAGGGAATGTTCACTCTCCTCATGGGAGGGTGACTTTTGTGGGGATTTTCCTAGAGTGCTCCTCCCTGCTCAAATAAGAGGACGAAAAGTAACTGGATCAGCCATTTCCACCCCTGAGACCCTCCCTGGTTGTTTGTAGCTCTAGGTTTTCTGAGCAGCAGCCTGGATTGTCCACCTAGGCCAGTGGTTCTCAACCTGTGGGTCGCGACCCCTTTGGCGGTCAAATGACCCTTTCACAGGGGTCACCTAAGACCATCCTGTATATCAGATATTTACATTACGATTCATAACAGTAGCCACATTACAGTTATGAAGTAGCAACGAAAATAATTTTATGGTTGGGTCACAACATGAGGAACTGTATTTAAAGGGCCAGAAGGTTGAGAACCATTGACCTAGGACGTAGTGAGAGTGGGGTGGTGTGGGAAGAACTGAGTGTTTTCCTTCCTTTGAAAAGGAAAAAGACCTGGGGGTGTTTCAGGGCAGAGGGGTGGGTGGGAAATCAAGAATAATCCCTTGCTTCAGAGGGAGTGGGAGTGGGTGAAGGCACCCCGGCTTCTTGAGGCTGGACCTGGAGCTAGGGTCTTGTGTGGTCCTTGGTGACCTCCTGGCCCTGACTGCTGGACTAGACAGCTACTAGGAACATCCCTACTGTGTGCAGGGTGGCAGAATGATTCAAAGCTTGAGCTTTGGATTCACATAGTCCTGAGTTCAAACTGTCAGCCTGTGGCCTCTGAACCTTGGTTTTTAAGTCTGTAAAATGGGAAGAGAAATGACATTACATCTGTGTTTTGGGCACTGTACTCACTTGAAGCTCTGCACATACCGAGTGCTAAGTAAATGTTTTAATATTGCAATTCTGCTGTTTAATATTGCCATCTGGAGTCTTGCCTTTTCAAATGAGGCCCCTGGGGATCTTGTTAAAATGTAGGGTCTGGTTCAGTGGGCCCTGAAATTCTGTATTTCTCACCGGTCCCTCAGGTGTGCTGTTGGTCCCTGGATGCACCTTTTACTGAGCAAGGGGTTGGAGTTGACAAAGCATCTGTCCAGCTACCAGCTCACCATTCCTCACCATTCCGGGAAAGAGCAGGGGAGGCAGGTGTCAGGACCCCCATTTTACAGATGAGATGACTGAGGCTGGAGTGGAAACGGGTCACTTGCTGGACATGGAGCATTTGGGAGCTGCTTATAAGTGTGGTCTCCCAGCAGCCATGGCTGAAAGAGGGTCAATCATTTGGGGGTAACTGACCTCACACTCACACCGTCTTTCTGAACTTACAGATGACTCAGAGGACCCCAAGGTCTTCCCCGAAGTAATCCAACCCTTGGTAAGTAACCGCATGCCTTGCTTCTCCCCCTGCTCTTCTGTAACACCTGTTGAGAGGGGCAGACTAAGTGAGGATGTGACCTCACTCTGCAAGAAGACTTTTACTTGTGGCCCTGGGATCCTTGGGGGCAGGCACAACTGTGGGCATGGGTAGGCCATCTTTCCTACAAGGATAATCACTCAACAGTTAGATGTGTTTCCAGCCCCTTTTCTGTGCTTTTATGGGTATTCTGTGCCATACATTTTTTACTTAAAGTGGTCATGAGTATTTCCCCACATAATTAAATATTCTTCCTGTTTTTAGAGGCTGCATGATTCACCCAGCTCTCCTGATTGATGAAAAAGTTGTTTATAACTTTTTGATATTCTGAAATTATAACACCACAGCAAACATCTGATACAACTATCTGATTAGCATCTTAAGGCAGAGTCCCAGAGGCAAAATTGCTGCCTCAATGGGCAAGCAATTTCTGCAGTTTGGCTAAACCTTCCCTCCAGAGTGGTTACTCTTAAAATACCCACTGAGCAGCAATGAGTGGGGACACCTGCTTCCTTGTGCCCTTGGTCACATTCATTCCCATTTTGAGAGACTAACTAGAAAAGTTGTGGAGGTTGTGGCTGACTCCTGCTCCAGGGCCACGTGGTTCAGTCAGCAAGAAGGCAGAACCAGATTCCCCGCCTGGCTGAACGTCCCTGTCCCCTGCCCTGGGTCTCTCCCCAAACTGTACTGAACCTTTCTCTTCTGTCCCCATCCAGGTGCCCTTAGATAACCACATTCCTGAGAGGGCAGGGCCTGGGAGCCGGGTCCCCACCCAACCCAAGGAACTGGAGGAGAATGAGGTCATCCCCAAGGGGCTCTCACCACTGCTGGAAGGGAACGAGGATGTGTCCAACAAGGTGTCCATGTCCAGCACTGCCCAGAGCAGCAACATCTTTGAGAGAAAAGAGGTCCTGGCGGGTAAGGTTCCTGCTCCTCACAGGACGGGGAGGGTTCAGTGGGAGGCAGTGCCTCAGGCAGGGGCACCTTACAGCCACACTCAGGGTGTCCCACCTTAGAGGTGGGGCCCAAGGGGGCTGTGACTGTGCAGTCTGGTGGAGGGGAGAATAATTGCACATCAAAGTCTTCTAAAGAATAGACAGCTGAGTCATTCACTCACCTTAAATCCCTCTCTTATTTTCAAAGCATTTTCACCTCCTGGGTTTGGTACTTAGGGATTTAATTATTAAAAGTCAACATTCTTTGAAAATCTCCCCCTGCCCCCGACTCTATATCACCTGACAGGCTTCTGACCTTGGCTGAGAAGCTTTTGAACCTCAGTGGAGAGGAGCCTCAGTTGCCTCCTCTCTAAGTGGGGACAGTGACACCTCCTGAGGTTGGTACAACGACTCCATGGAAAATAGAATCTGAAATAACTAGGCAAACTCTAAAGGGCTATTCTGATTTGTTAGTATGGTATGGTAACTTAAAACATGAGGTCAAGGTGAGAGGCAACAAGGGTTTTATTTGAGATCCAAAAGAGTAGCTAGTCGGGAAGCACCGATTCAGGCTCAAATAGTGTTCTGAGTAGGAGGTGAAGGCAAGGGGTATTTATGAAATAGGGAAAGGGAATAATTACATGAATAGAAGGAAGGAGTGCCTATGGGTGTTATATAGCTAAGAAAACAGATAAACTAGCATAGTGATGCTAATTCTAAAGAATGCCTTTCATTTTCAGTCATGATATCTGCTTTCCCATTATCTTTGCGAACAGTTGCTTGGAATACAATGCTGCTTTAGGCCCAGTCCTTCCAAAGGTTATTTTGTCCATTTTTAACATTCCAAAGGTTTGAAGAGTAACACCTGCAAGGCATTTTCTCCAGTATGGCAGCTCCGGCTCCATTTTTCTTTTTTTTAATAAGAGTAGTACAAACTACTCTTTTTTTAAAAATATATTTTGTTGATTTTTTACAGAGAGGAAGGGAGAGGGATAGAAAGTTAGAAACACCGATGAGAGAGAAACATCGATCAGTTGTCTCCTGCACACCCTCTACTTGGAATGTGCCTGCAACCAAGATACATGCCCTTGACTGGAATTGAACCTGGGACCCTTCAGTCTGAAGGTCCATGCTCTATCCACTGAGCCAAACCGGTTAGGGCCAGCTCCATTTTTTAAAAAAATATATATTTTTATTGATTTCAGAGAGAGAGAAAAAGAGAGGGAGAGAGATAGAAACATCAATGATGGAGAGAATCATCCCTCGGCTGCCTCCTGCACACCTCCTACTGGGGACCTGGCCTGAAACCCGGGCATGTTCCCTGACCCAGAATCAAATTGTGACCTCCTGGTTCATAGGTTGACTCTCAACCACTGAGCCACACCGGCTGGGCAAAAGAAAGGATCTTGCCTACACCTGGCAGATGAGGCTCCTGGAAGCCTAACCCCAGGTGACTTTGGGTCCATCTCAGCCCTGACCCTGGGCCCCTGGTACCTGAGGCAATGCTCTTTTTATTTTCCCTTCACTACTTTCTGTGTGATGCACAGCGGGGTGGGGGTGCTGTCAGAACTAGAGGAGCCCTTAGAGACCATTTAGTCTTTTAAGTTTCTTCTAAGGCTCTTTGGTTGAACTGTTTTAAAGCCTCCCCCACCTTTCTTCAACCACAGAGTTTCATTTTCGGCTGCATGTGTGGGATTCACAGAAGGTTTTGCTTTTACCAACTAAGGGTTCTATGACTTTTTTTCTTAATGGCTTAAAAAAAAACCCCATAAAAGTGGCTTTAAAAACCACTGATCTATTCTAAGCAACTGTTTCTTATACTGAGGAAGCTGATGCCTAGAGAAGGCAACCCACTGGCCTTGGGTCACATAGCAAGAGGCAGGATGAAGTTAGGTCCTCTTCCATCTTGCAGCAGAGAAAGCCACCAGTACACGATCTTCATGTGACGTTATGTTGTTGAGCTCGCTGAGGCAGGGCCCTCCCATCCCACCTTTTTGTTTTACTTTATTTTAAAATATATTTTTATTGATTTCAGAGAGGAAGGGAGAGGGAGAGAGAGAGAGAGAAACATCAATGAGAGAGAATCATTGATCAGCTGCTTCCGGCATGCCCCCTACTAAGGATCCAGCCCACAACCGGGGCATGTGCCTTTGACTGGAATCAAACCCGGGACCCTTCAATCCGCAGGCCAACGCTCTCTTCTCTGAGCCAAACCAGCCAGGACCCATCCCACCTTTTTAAACAGCACCTGGGAGTTTATGGAGTGCTTTGCTATGTGCATGTGATTCATGTTCTCCTCTCATTAGAGTCCCCACAACAACCCTATCAGATGGGTATGGTTATCGATTCTGTTACAGAGAGGGAAATGATGACTCTGAGAAACCAAATCACTTGTCCAAAGTCATAAAACCAGAAAGTGGTAGACCTGGCCTTTGACTCTAGGACCACAGTCACTTCTAAGACTGTAATTGAACTTTGACCTTGAGGGGAGTCCCAGCACAGAACTAC